ATAAATTTGAGAAATTATGGGATTTGGCGCCATTTTCGAATAGAGCGTCCTTAAAAAAGGGTCCTTGCCAAAAATTACCTCTTAATTGTAATTCCCAGTTGAAATATAAAGGATGGAAATTTGGTACTGCCCCATTTAAGTCTCTCTAATTTTGAGCCAGTTCTAAACTGAAGGAACTGAAACAAATTTTGAAGGGTTGGTATGGGATGCTATCAAACTTTGATCCCTTATATCTCTATCGGGAATTGCAATTCAGAGCTAATTTTTGGGATGAGGGCATCTTTTAGGATCCTCTATAAGAATATGACATCATTTCTCACAATTTCAAAAATTTTATTTTTGTGATGTCATCACTTTAGGACTCTATGAAGATTGTATGAATCACGTGACAAGTGCGCTGTGTTTAATATAACAACCATCTGAACTAACTGCATGGCCACAGGCACCAAGAAAAGCACAGGAATCACAGGGAATTCTTATATGTGGGTGTAGGATGACCCTTTGTTACATGCCAGACAGTGATGAGTGGTTCAAGCTTTCAGACCCAGGAATGACTGGTAAACATCTTGTATCATGCCAAGGAAGACCTGTGAATTTTACCACCAATCTCAAGTCCTGTGAATGGTATGACGCCATCTTCAATCATTGGATTCCATTTAATTTCTCAAGTATACCTAAAAACTCTTTAACAGCAAATACTTTTACAAGTGGATTACTGACAGTGATCAAGAAGATATTTGTTTTTCAAGCAGATGTTTGTGTCATGATGGTCTTAGACAACATTCGCACAAGAACCATAGAAACCACTCTTTATGGACACAACATTGATTCTGATATCTGGCAATGTTTTCCTCTCCCCCAACTTGGTCAAATAGTAGGTGTTTGTTTTGTTTCTAGTGACAAGTACGTCTATGCCTTGGGTTGGTGTGTTAAATATTCTATGGACAGAAACTGAGCTGATGCTTCAAGATATGACATGATCACAGGAGCTTGGGAGGGAATAGCACACATGAAAGAGGCAAGGTGATTAGCATGTGGTGCAGCAGCTCATGGAAACATTTTCATTGTGGGTGGTTACAGTCATATGTATGCACTACGTGAAATGAACAATGTAATGTACAATGTACGATGTGAAATGTACAATGTAAAAACAAATGAATGGTGTTTAATAGCCAACTCCACACTCCCTGACTGGTGAGGTAGTATTACGTGCCATGGAACAGACTTGTTTTTTTAGGTGCAAGTGAAGTTCATCCTCACATTCTTACTGTTGAATACTATGACATTGAAAACAACACATGGTGTATGAAGACAAACCTACCAATGCAGCAGTGTCATGAAAGAATGCAGCACTCCCCCATCACAGTGTGCTCTGTGCGACTATTCAGAGGAGTGCTTTATTAACTTCATCCACTTCAAAATCAAAGCAAGAGGGTGTAATTTAAGAGAATAGTCATTATTCTGGAGTCTAGAGTTGTTCTTTATATTCCACTGTATATTTCATATCTTAACATACACTATTGATGTACAGTCATCCAAACTATAGCTTGCCAGGTATTTAGCTCGAATAAGACGGTTGATTAAAGTTCTATCATTCTTCAAGGTGTTGATGTCATTGTACTCAAATAGAGCAGTATTGTGTTCTCTGTGGGTTAACAGCATTAACTTTTTGTTAGCAGCCCTTGCTTTCCTTTATGGAATGCCATGTAAGAACTAGACTAGAGAATTAAAGAAAAAAATGGATGCGCAAAAATTGGGAGCATGGTGTGAGGGAAAGTATTTAAACTAGTGTTTGTAGGCAGTGGTGTAGCCTGCAATTTTCATGAGTAGGCATCAAAGAGAAAGTTTGAAAAGAAAGAAAAGTTGGGCTAACTTTTGGAAGTTTGCTAACCTGTATTGTGATGCAACTCTACGATATCCTTTACATATACTGGTATACTGGTATGTACAGATACCATGGCATAGAATATACAACCAATCAGAGTACAGGAAAGCTGTTGTATATTAAACAGTACTACATCCTACCTTTCCATTGTGTGCCACATGTATGTCACATTGATTGTGAAGGCCATTGCATTATTGGGTATGCAGTGCTCTCTCGTGGTACACCATGAAATATCCCACTTTTCGCTTGTATTTTCTTGGTATAAAAATACAAGTGACTTTTGGGATCTTTAATGGTACTGTATTAATTTGTGTTAATCATGGAAGGCATGCCCGCCCCCCAGGAAAGCGTTAGTTTTGGGCTTGGAAATGCCATTTTCCATGTTTTCCAGGAAACAGTTTCATAAATCAAAACATGATAAAATGTTGAGTATTGAGAAACTTGTGCTCTTAACATGTCAACCTTTGGGATATCGATAGTAGGTTTAATAGGAAACACTAGAGACCATTAATCCAGTTGACTGAATTATTAGAGAAGCTTTTTGGTAATAATTTTAATACAGTAAATGGTGTATTTTCACTGGGTTTCCGGAGGTACACACATGTATATGTGCTTACATGGTTGCTTCACCCATGGTAGGGGTATTTTCCAGATCTTGTTTTCACCTCTGGCCTGACAATTCTTGAGGTTTGGTAGAGGCTACTTGTGTAGTTTAGGGAATAGATTGATTATATATTGACATTATATCGTTTTAGTTCACTAAGGTACAGACTCTAACCACCAATGCCAATTCTATGCTCCAAACCAAGAAAGGATTATTCCCAGTTCAGTTTACAGCAAGTGATGGGCAACAGAAGGATGACATTCTTTGGATTACAGAGATGGAGAGGTAACAATGCTATTATTATTTGATTATATTAAACTTTACCAACATGGCAATTTGTTTACTTATTCACATACCAATCGACCTTTCTACCAATGCCAGACACTTCTGTTTTTTTCATTCCAACAACAACCAAAAAAAGTCTCACGGCTTGATTTATACCAGGGGGCATAAATTAATCTTTGGAGGTTATTTATTGTTTAAAGGTAAAACATGAAGGATTGTTGATATTGGATGACATCGGTAAAAAGGTCCATTGGAAGCAAATTACATTAGTATGACCCTGCTGATTGGTAAAAACCTGTTTCTATTCACCCCTCATTCAGTGAATAACCATTGTTTTACTTGTAGGTTGTTTGGTCTACCTTCTCATTACACTGATGTCAGCAACATGGGCCGGTCTCAGAGACAGCGACTGCTAGGAAAGTCCTGGAGTGTTCCTGTAATAAGACATCTGTTGTCCCCCCTTAAGGATTACTATAAATGTGAAGCATGAAATGCAATTGCATACATTGATCAGCTTAAATAAAAAAGATCTTGGAAAGTATGATTTGTTGTGTCAAAATGGCCGTTTCTTAGAAATATGTAGTAATGCTTTTCAGACATAGCAGTAAATCAGTTGTTCCACACGTTGTGTTAGATATGTTAGGACTTAACATTTTATGAATGGATTTTTATTCAGGGTTGAGTTTTGGTTTAAGAAAGTTTGCCTTTTTCAGTTTTTGAGATCAACAGGTTAGAAAAAAAGAAAGGTGCACATTATCTCTCCTGTTTTCAGACACCTGCTCATTACAGCTTGAGCAGGATGATTCATTTACTTTCTCTCAGTGCTGAGGCGTTACGTGACAGCACTTATAATATTTTACAGAGAATGTTGTCATAAGCTTGAGAGAGGATGTGATGTAAACACAGTTTCTCTAAAGAACAGATTTCTTGCTTTATTAGATTGATTTGTTGAATTGAGTGGCCTTTTGTGTCTGTCTGTCTAGAAAGTACAGTATGTTGTTGTTACTAATACTCAAGCATTTGTTGATATAAACTGTTTTGGCTGTGGTGTGAAGAAGATAAATAAAATAAAGTCATGGTAACTTGAAGTTTGTTTTCTTGTTGTTCTTTTAACCTTTCTGTGTGCCGCTGAGCACCTCCTGAGCACTTCATTAAATTTTTCATGCAGGAACATAGACAATACAAAAATTAACTTGAATAAATCAATAATAGATTGTCACTGGCTACTACCTCGACAGATACTTTTTGGGCTCCTCATGCATTTTTCAAGTGGCAGGGGTTGGACAATAACCCAGTTTACTGCAATTCCATCCTGCACTTAGTGATCAGGCCTCTATGTAGGAGGGAAGCTAGAGTTGACTTTGCTATGACGCAAACCTTGCTACTTTTCTGGTTTCTTAATCTTTATCATAACAAGGTCAAACCATTCTTTCAGACGCTTGGTTACACTTCAAAGGAATGAAACATGATCTATGTCACCAATAATATCCTGCAAAAATGTTGGCGGATAACATAAGGCCCAGGAGTGCCACACAACTGAGCCACACTTAAAAACATGAAAAAGAGCATGTTGCTTGGAAAATACTCCAAAATCTGCCTGGGTCCCCTCTCCTCAAAAAAAGAGAACAAGTCCTGGTTGTATATTTTGTGGAGTCGACGTGGTTAACATCACTACCAGTAAGTTTCCTGTGCAGAGTTTGAGAATTAGAGAGATGACCTGGTTATTCAGTCCCGTCAACTGTGCACTTACTGGTATATTTATGCACTTAATGAGCAATCTGATCATCGTCTAAATGGTTGGTTTTTGATACCAAGAAATAAGATGTGTTCATTATCTGGATGACCACCATTTCATCACTTATTATTGTAAGGACATGTTCCAATAATTTAGACTCTGACTTACTGTATTCTTCATTTTACTATTTACCGATCATAATATAGCTTTCTTTGAGTGAAGAAGCTGCTTTGTTATTATATTCTGTTGAAGTGACATGTCAGTTGTATTCTTGTTCCTAATACCCCAGGTTTGACTCTCCTTAAGTTTAGAAATGACTTCAGACCATGTGAACGTTAGAGTTAAAAATAGTATTTTTCCCAAAGGTCTGGGGCCTGTTTCTCGAAAGCCCCGGAATCTTTTCAGGCCCGAAAAGCCATTTTAGTTAATCAGTATTTAAAGACAGACAGGTGTATATGTCTGAAACTTCTTGCATGAAGAGAGCCTTTGTTTTTATTAAGAATATATGAATAAAACAGCTCTGTAGTTAAAAGGTTCAAGTTTTTGCTACAGCTTTTCAGGTGCGAAAACCTTTCGGGACCTTCAAGAAATGGGCCCCTGTGTCAAAGTGCAGTTAGTCAGGCAATCCTAACTGTTCAAGTAATGCTAGCAGATATCAAATGCCTATTAAACCACAAAGGGACAAGACTCACTGTCACACCAGTCTTTGTTTTTTCACTACATTGAAACAAGAAAAGTTGACTTGCATGATTTATACAAAGCAACTTATGACCTTAACAGCTGCTTTATTCATTGGATGATAAACAGAAAGACACAGACATAATAAGACAAACAGGACATCAATTATTTACAGTGGTAAATTTATAAGTTATAGATCCTACAGATCCTCTAGATCCTACTCTTTCTCTGCTGATTTCCTTGCTTTGACTAATTGCACACAGGCCTCTTCACATTTATGAAACTTACCACATTTCAAAAGTATTATTGTGTACACTATTAGTATTCTTTTCTTGTGCCTGATTTGCTGAACACAAGAACGGACAGTGTACAACACGTCGATGATTGTGAGTAATTCAGAGTACTGGGTAATTCAGAGAGTACTTAAAACCAGGCCAGTCACAATCTCCCTGGAGAAACTGGACACCTGAACATCAGTAATGTAACAGAAGCTAGGCTGTCGACTGTGCTAACCACAAGCCCTGCGAGTTACTGCAGAATGTTGATTATTTCAAAAAAAAAAACAACAACAACAACACAGTGACATGGAAAGTAACTTCTTTGTAGGAAACAAATTCTCCAGAAAACAATACAATTTTTAAATCATGCCACATAGAGTTTTGTAGCAGCTACATTGACCTGATTCATTAAATTCTAAATACTTAGAGCTAATTACAAGAGAAATCCTTGGAGAGCTTTACCAGAAGGTATATCCCCCACCACTACCACCACTGAACCAACCAGCTTGCCTCTGCTGTAAATTAGCAGGTTGACCCTGAGATGCCATTACTTGAGCTGCATTGGGAGCGTATCCTGGGGGAGGGGGCTGTAAAAATATCACAACAATTTTGTTACAATTTTAACCAAGTCAAGTTATATCTACTTGCCCAAAGAGCTGAGCTCTAGTCTGAAAAGTTCCAGAAGTCCAAGCAGTTGCTTTTGCCATGTTTGTGTTTTGTTTTCTCAGTTACCCTTTCAACTGATTTTGCAAGATTACCCTTTCAGTATCCAAAAAAGGTACCAGCCCATACATATGCAATCCTAAATACAAGGATTTGCCTTGGGTACCTTTGGTAGAAAGCTAGTCCATTTGTTAGGCTTGCCCCAACAATTCTCCAGTTTCTGTACTATCTGTGGTGGGCTCCCCTTACGATGAAAATTCAAACTAAAAGAACAAAATTAAAATATGGTATCTTTGGTCTTACCGGAACGTTAATTGTTGCTCCAGCTCCAAATCTGGCACCAGGATCAAATGAACCATGGACTAGTGGTTGTGGGGGACCCTGTGCAGGATACTGGCCCACAGGGTACTGTTGTCTGGGGTAGTGTCCTCCAGGAGCCATACCGGGGTAATGCTGCATGTTTGGAACTTGTTGTGGCTTCATATAAAAGAAAACATTGCACACTTCATTTTTTGTGAACAAAGTACTGTTAATGATATGATTTAGCACCCTCCTATTTGTAATAAGCAACTCCTTAGTAAATGCCGCCAAATTTGAAGGTATCTTTACTATTTAAGCACCTCTATTGTTATAACCGCCTGCTACACTAACACTTGTACTTTACAATATGCTCGTAACTCCAAAATTAGTCTCGCGCAAAGAAAAAACTCCAGCAGTAAGTATCCTGTTTCCAATAAGTGCCCACATTTAAGCTAAAAACATTTAATATGCACCCCAAGGGCTAAACTGAATTTTTAATACATGCAAGTTCATATATCTTGGTAGACAATTCAGTGAGTAGTATCGTGGTTATGCTGCTGCATATTCTGCAACATCCCATGGGTTGTATTTCATGGCAGTTTCTCTGGGTTCATCAAAGCCTCTAGGTTTTTCCCACCAAAAGCCTAGACAGCAGAATTTATGCCATTTTCTATTGGCTACCCATAAGCAAGAAACAAAAGGAGGAATCTCAACCAGATACTGGTAAGGGTAACATTGAAATCTCTTCCACTTATTTTCCTCACTTATAACAGCTGCATGAAGTGCTTTTTACCTTGCACATCTTATTTCCAAACAGAAATGTTACTTTCTAGGTGTTTTCCTCATAAGAGAAATTCTAAGCTCTGTTGTTTAAGGAAGTTTACGTCAATGTCTGCAAAGTTGGCCAGGGATCCTTGTGTCTCAATACAAAGATCCTGCCTCAGTATGAGCTGGCCAGGTTGTCATTTACATTGTCATCAGTAAGAACAATGATTTTACTGTACACACTAAACAGATGAGCCAAGATCTCAACAAAATGAGCTAGCCTGACCTATAATAATACAAAATTATGCCGTAAAACACTTATCATGTAGGTGCCTGCTTTTTCAATGGACTACCTAAAGATAACTTTCTGGATTTTTTAGTAAGTATTTCAGAAATGGAGAGACGTTGAATATCTTTCTATTTGCAAAGGCTCTAATCTTTCTCTGGTGTATTTTACATTGCACTCTGATCTAACTATTGTCTAGTTATGAACCAGCCACATTTTCTGAGTAAAAGTATGAGACGCTTGTCCCGTGGATTTTCATAACTTCTATAGATGACTTGACAATTTGACGTGACCTCATTACCTGAGATCTTTGGAAGATGTTCTAGATGAAGAGTTCTAATCTTCAAATCAGTGGATCGATAACCTCATTGCCAAGTGTTCTCTTACATTCAAAATCAGAAGAATTTAAGACAAAGTAAGCACAATTCACATGGAGTGACCTCTATGGAAATAAGAGAATTAATTTTTAATCAAGATGTTTACATTCTCCTACATTCTCCTATAACTTTGCTGGTAACTTACATTGTACATGCCACTGGGTGCAGCTTGTGGTGGTGCCTCACTGTACGGTGGAGGAGGGACCCCATACAGTTGTCCTGGAGCACCATACTGTCCTGGTGGCTGGTATTGCATCTGCTGTGGCTGAGTTGGATAAGCTGGTGATGGCTGCTGTGTTGGGTATTGCCCCACTTGCTTTGGGTAGGAACCTGGGTAATGATTCATGCAGTTACCATTAAACTTGAACTTGTTTCTAAATGGTGTCAAACGTGTGGAGACAGATTCTTGTAAATAATTTCTGTGGACTATTTACAACATTTGATTGGCGTAAATTGGGGTAATGCCACTGAGGCCTTCAAACTCTGACGACACTTACTGGTAAGATAAAATCCCTTCATTTTACTCCCCTGTTTAAGGTGTCCTACTACAGCCTTGAGGACCTTGAGGGAGTAACACAACCTATCCTGCAAGCAATTGGTGTCTCCTATGCCACAATTGGCCCACAATATCTCTTTTGTGAGCACAGTGACCTATCTTTTTTACGGTATATTTTTTGGAACAGTGATAACGGAAATCTCTTGTTGCTGCATATCTGCATGTGCTCATGTGTGCACTAATTATGCATAAAATTATATGCAGTAGGGATGCACAATGCACTTCAGAGGAACCACCTTACATACGTTTCCAGGCAGTTTGAAGCTACCACTACAGATATGGCAAGATGCTTTAATTATGCAATTCAAGTACATTTCGTCTTAGGATCACTTGCCTCAATTTGGTAATGCAACTAATAGTGATGTCAGGCAGACAATTGAAGTGCATGTGACTGGGACTTGATAGACCTATAGTAAGCTACCTTAAGGATGTTCGTGCTAATTGTTTCTGCGTATCCTTACTGCATATGCAAATTCACACGCCATGTCATGCATTAAGCGTGTGAGCTAAGTACTAAAATGAACGATGATAGGGCTGATGGCCATTGTTCTAGCTTTGCTTGGATTTAACGATCTTGGACATTTGGTGACCCCTACTTTTCTTTCCAGAAACAGATTTTATTTACAATTATCTCCANCCTATTGTTCTTTGCCAGCCTAAATAGGTTCTTATATATTTGGGTATTAAAATGCCCAATTTCAGCCTGTAGGTTCTTAAATCACTAGGTTCTTATACGCGGGTGTTTACTGTAGTGAGTAGCGTAGCAACGTGCGCTGGGGCTGCTTCTTTGTCTGTGAAGAGGATTTAGATAAAGTTTTGAGTGACTAGTAGATTT